ATGGATGCAAACTTCTATATCTAAACACTTCAAGTCTTCTTTCAGATTATGTTTCGCGAAATACAACATGCCATGACCAAGTAGATATAGCCCCTATCGGGATAGATCATGAAAAATCAGGGAAGTAGTACGGCTGCGAGGCCTGTACTCTACATTTACACTTTTATCTTTCGAGTTAAAAATTTGAGAACAGAAAACTATAAGGGCTTAAACTTCTTCTGACTTTGGATATAACTTTCAAATTCATTCTACGATATTCTACTATACCGCTCATTAGACCCGATGTGCTCTACTCCACATACCTTCGAGCTGCTTGTAGAGTTTATTGCAGTATAAACGATCCGAAGAGTTCAGATTCAAAAGCATTTGAATATTTTAAAGATTTTTATTTGTAGGTTCCTGCAGATAAAGTTATTTATGAACGTGATATAAAGGATGCAACAAAGAGTTACACATTTACTGATGGTGTTGGAACAATATCAACAAAACTTCGTGATGAAATAGAAGAAGAATTATTTTAATAGGTGAAACATTTATTGAAATATCGTTATGATTTTAGTGTTTTACAAATTTGTTATGGTGATTGTAAAGATTTATTATCAGTTGATCCAAATCTTGATAATCAAAAATATCTATTAAAAATTCGAGGTTCAATGAATAGATTTACTAATGATCGTAAGTATTTCCATTGAAACAATAAGAAATTCTTCTAGAATTTGAATAGAAATGTATTCTAAAATAAATAATATAGAGTAGGCATTAAACTTATTCATTTTGTAATTCACTGAGTTAATGAGGAGCGAACTCAAAAATATATTTTATTTTCTCTCATCAATTTCAACGAGTCAAAATAATCAAGAACAAGAATTGTGAAATCCTTAGTGGAGAAGGATCATTGAAACAAAGCAATTTTCTATTTTTTTATGAACCGATCCCTCACAAACGAAAATATAAAAGCAGATTCAAAGTGAAAATAAATCAAAAGACCTCAATTTTTTATAATAATTCATTTTTATCAAAGTTTACTTCTGTGCAAGGTTTCAAATCGAAATTTGAAAATATATTCTACTAATTTACAGTATTCCTAGAGTCCATTTAAACTCTTATTGAGATATTCAAAATTCATTTGTGTCCACATCAAAGTAAGCATAGATCCGACTTTAAAATGATTTATTGGTGGGGAACTTGTCTCGTCAAAATAAATGATCCAAATTTTCTATTCATGATCGATAAGAAAAATTAGTTCAAATCATATATGTAAATATTTAGGTTCTTTGTATCTCAATCGGCAAGATATTGCTTTACTTGAAAGTCGTGATATATCTCATACAACATTTCTTTGTTTACGAAACGAATATCATTTATGGCTTATTCGTTGTCTATTAATACCATCCATAGCTAATAGCATAATATATAAATATAATTGAAGAACAATTTTTTTATAAAATTAATTACAACATGTGCATTTAATATTGTATGTGAATTAATTGATCGAACAAGAATATGTGTATACCAGATAAAAAAGCTAGGAATATGTTTGGTATTTTTGATGAATATGGTGTATTAGATTATGGTCAAGTTTTTGTACACTATACAGTGATGGATGAAAAATGCAGTTGATCGTCCTGAATTAAGACATTTAAAAGATGTCATTGTGTTTCAACAAAAAGGTCCTCGATCACATTCAAATGAAATATTAGGCTCAGATTTAGATGGTAAATTTGGTGTTATATGGCATCAAGACTAAATACCACAAACTTCCTTAAGAATACGATTCTCAAGAAGATCCACCGAAGATGAATCGTCCAATAACTCGAGATGATATTAATAAATTTCTTATGGAATTTATCGAATAAGATTGTCTTGGAACTCTATCGAATATTCATTTAGCTTACGTAGATAAATATGGTATCAAATCAAAAATATGTACAGAATTAGCTGAAGTTATTTCAAAAGAAGTAGCTGCTACAAAAACTGGTATACATCCGTTAACCAATGATGAAATTGTTATACTAAAACAAAAACTAGAGAATAAATTGTCCGATTTTATGAAAGGACATAGTAAAGAAGAACATTATCCATCAGAACGAATTCTGGATTAGTATTTCTTAAAAAAAAAGATTTTTACGCAGTGTGATAAAAAAAATGTATTCTTCGTTTCTTTCGTTGTCAAAGTATAATTAACAGCTACAATCATGAAGAAAATTACACAAAATCATCTCGTTCCTCTCTGATTGAACCTCATGTTTTTAGTTTTCTGCAGTGGATTATTATAATCTCAGTATCCTATAGAAAACATCATCTAACAAGAGAATTTTTTTATACTTTGATATATATACTCTGCATTAAGAACAGTACATTTGAAAATATAAAGGAACAAAAATGAACATGTTTCAGTTTTTTATTTCAATTTTATTAATAATATTCTTGAGTAAACTAATTGTATCTTTTTCCAGGTAAATTATATCGTTCAGCACGTCAGGCTATTGCAGGTTGGAATCGTGCAATAAATAATTATGGTAATTCACATCATATAGATGTAGCTCTTGCATTAGCTTCTCCTTTGAATATCAAAGATCAAGAAAATACTGGAACGATAAAAACGTCAAATATATTAAAAAATTATGAACTCAAAGTGAATTACTCGAAATTGTAAGTTTATATTATTGATGTATCAACAGATGAAAGTGAAAAAAGAATTATCTTGAAGATTCAACTACAATTGAAGTACAAAATTTATTTCGTAGAATAAAACAAGATTTTTATATTGAATTTAATGAACTACGTGCAGAATTAAAATGTTGTACAGTCATAGTAAAATCATTTTCAGATCATTCAAAAATTATCGATTGTGACTATGGTAGAGAAAATAAATTTGCAAAAGCTGCTTGTGTTTATATTTATACATGTAGTAAAAATTAAGAGATCGTAATATCTCAAATGATTTTATAAATTAATCAAATACAATTGTGTGTTATGAATGTTCAGATTATTTGAAAGATTTCGAATCAAAATTTAAAGTTTTCATTTCTGAAAATTCAATCAATAATCTATTTGTTGAATTTTATTATAAAAAAAATTGAAGAAAAACCAAGAAGTTTATTATGATACACAAGATAAACCTTATAAAACAATATCTCATGTATCATTATTAATAAAACAAGAAATATTTGGTGATGAATATATTGAAACTGATTCAAAACCTTTAATACCTGAATCAATATGGCACTAATTATTAATAAAATTTCTTTCGAATAGAGATGAAAATAATGTACATGTTATACTAGCTTCAGAACATCAAAGTTTTCTTAAAGAACGCTTTCATCAACAATGGATAAATATGGAAGATCAAGAATTACAAAATATGTTTCACGAAATAGATCAACTTACTTTAGGTTATAGGAAAAAAACTCAGTCAACAATATGGGCTTATCTTTATGAATATATTATATCAGCTTTACAATATATTTGTATTGAAAAGAGACTTGATGATAAATGGATACATTCATCAACAGTTGAATATTGCTAAGAATGTTATGTGCATATGAGTTTATTTTTAATACGATGCGAAGCACAAATTTTACATGGACCTTCATCAGTTATCTTCTTTTTATTGTTTTATTATTTTTTCATAGTTTGCGTATAGAGCTTGATGATTCCGATTCGAAGTGACAATACACTAAAACAATATATACTCTCTCCAGTGAAATATACTGAGGTGGTTTTTAGCAGAGTACATGAAGAGATATCCTGCTACTAGTATGTCACAGAAAATTGATCGAGTTTTCTGCCAAGCTTTATTCCAGTACCTATTACTAATCAAATACCTTTCACACCAACATCCTTCAATCAATATAGTTTTGTCACTTGATCAGAAATGCAGGCAATGGTCATATAGAAAACTTTGATGTTGCATGCTTCATTTGCTAGAAATCAAATAGGCTCTTTTCTGATAGCCTCACTACATAGAGAAAGAGTCAAAAGTTGAAGGATATTTATGTGTAAGTTGTTGACATTGAGAAACGTTTTATACTGTTTTTGATCTCTAATGCATATGCATTGGATGCAAATGATAGTGATCGATGTTCGGATGTGAGTTTAGGTTTTCTCTTCATCTACACCTACACCCTATTCTCTCTGTAAAATCTCAAGTTTCTTTAACACTATAATAAAAATTATGGAATTCACTTAGGAACAAAAGTGACATTTAAAGAAAACAGTTCTGATTTGTCAGCAAAGCCTTTTATTGGGTGCGTTTATACCAAAGACGAGCTTTCACTGAACCACATTCCATATCCTATCATACAATAAAACATAATTTATCAAAACAGAACAACGAAAACCTATAGAATGTGACTTACAATTATCTGTTGATCTTTATCATTGATATAACGTGTAACCACAGATTTTTTTTTCAATATCTGTCGATTGCTGTATGAATCCATCTATTGCCTTCGAACTTAATGTTCAACTGCAAAAAAAATAAATAAAATAACAATCGAAAGTAATATATACAGATAGCTATACTTTAATTTATCGTCCATCAGCTGTTGTTTTATCGAATTCAATACCAGGCGTAAACTCGTATGATATTAGTTTCAGTGTACTTTCCTTAATAACGAAAAATAACAGTTTCATAATATGATGCAAATATAAAGAAAATAAATGAATTGAACTATTTGAAAAATTCTATTAGTTAATAATCATTTTAAAAGTAAAAAAAGAAAGGCAACAGCAAGTCTTATATTAAAAGTTAATCCAAAAATGAAGCATACATTAGTTTTTAGAGAAAAATTTTCTCTATTCATTTGTTTACATTTTATCAAAATTCTTTTATGCACCATGCTGCAACAGTGAATTTTCCTTTGAATCTGTAGAAATTTGATGCTGATGCATTGTAAACTAAAGTGATAATTATATGAAATCAAGTTAAAGTTCACTCTAACGTGAAACTCAACAAAATTAGAGAATAAATATATATTTACAATATAAAAGACAAAAGTATAAAAATGAATAATGATAATTTATATTTAATTATCCTGTGTGTTCTCATATGGATTTTCAATCAAAATATATTTGCATAGCAGGAACATGAAGTATCATATCAACTGTTTGATAATCTTTGGCTAATTCAATAAGTTAAAAAGAAATAATGTTGGTTTTTACTCGTTATATGATCATTATTATTAGTTTCTCGGTTGATTTGTTTATCAATCTTTTTCAATAACGTCAAGCAGAGAATAAATAATTTATTGATATTAAATTCCGGAAATATTCGAATAATTTATTTTAAACATTGAATATTAATGATATTCGATACCTAATCATCATTATAACTATTAGAATCATTACAGATTCCAGTCAAAATTGTTCATCATTATTTACTTTACGTTTACGTCAATCTGAATAAAATTACGCAGCACAAAAAACAGTGAAAATCAATACGAGATTTGTTGTGCAGCAAGAAAATGTCTGTTGTAATTATAAATAGCATCTAAAGAAACAAAAACAAAATTCATTTTTATCAAACAAATAAATACATCATACATCATTATTTTGCTTTCCATTAAATACTTCTGTATTAATAATATACAATAATAGAATAAAAAGAACCAGATACAAATACAGAAATAAAGTTCTTTTCTTATTTAAGCACAAAGAATAACCAAACATAAGACACATCATTTTTAATGAAAATAGAAAAATCAAACCAAGTTTATCATATGCACCAGAATGATTAAGGAATTCACCTAGAATTTCTTTTAATTTCTGAGATACAGTTGAGTTTTCTTTTGTTGAAAAGCTTTTCACTTCGTCTACACTATTATATTTATGTCTTCTTTTATGAAATCTTTTTTTCGTTCACTTTGAATTAACCTAGGTACACTATAATCTAACACGAGTGAAAGATGTTCGATACCAATACCATTATGTTTTAATTAATCGAAAAGCTTAATACCAATTTTGTTGACCTTTCCTCTACCCTAATAGAAATAGACAAAAAAAACCATTGAAAAATAATAATTTTTCAACATATTTAGTTAAATTGTCAATTCAATCCAACATAAAGAGATGCTAAACAAGAATGAAGATATGTACGTGCTAAACTTTCGATAATTGAGCAAAATCTTTTAACATAAAAGAAAAATATTCTCTTTTTTTTTGTTATCTTGTAACGTCGAGTTTTTGATTTTGTTATTAGTATCAGGGCCTTTACCATTTTTTAAATAACTTTCTATCGTTTATAGCTATTGAGTTTCGTTTTTTGCCATTAGAAAAAGCAAGTGAACAGACATCTATGCGTATAAAATTCATAAGAGTCGAAAAAGAGTGAATATCTTTTTCGTTGGAGTTCTGAAATAAATCTATGCTCAAATTTTACCAAATTCTAGACGAAAACAACTTTTATTTCCTGTAAAATTCTCATATTTTAAAACAATAGCTTTCAGGTATTACTTGAGGATGTGGGTGTGACTGTACAGATGTAGCAACACCCACACTCACACTCTAGTTCAGAGTATGTAGCATTCCATATATGTGATAGTTTTTACTGATACGATAATAAACCCAACACATATCTACACTATACTCACATCTTACCTACCCAGATCGAAGATTTCGTTCACCAGGTCTCACAGGATCCTGCGGGAGAATGCGAGTATGAGAGTGGGTGTATCGGATGTTGATGTGGATGGATACGCTGTAGGTGTGTTCTTCAAGAGAAACCTTACGCTGGCATGCTGCACCCACATAAAATAGTCATTATTTATTATTGATTGAATTGGTATAGAGTTCAGTAAAAATTGATCTCATTGAGGAATATGACAGATCATTATCAATATCATCAAATTTTGTTCTTAATGGATTAGTCGAAAGAAAAGTAGAATGATTGAATATTCATAAATTGATCATTTTTTTTCATTAATGAAGATGATTCTTCTAGAAATCGTTCTTAAAATCTTCAAGAATGAAGTTTGATTTATAGTAGATAAAAGTATAATTATGAAATATGAAATAATAAAAGTAAAATTTAAAAATACATCACTGATTCTATTTAACGAAATCAAATTTCTAGAAATAAATCGATGAAAATTAAATGGAGAAATATTAAATAACTAGAATATGCGTACACCTCATGAAACACCTCCAACTCAATTCACCCTTTAGTCAGTCTTTCGGTGTTACGTGTACTCAGATTCAGAAAAAGAAATCTTAAAAAAGTCTATTTTTATATTGAAATATTTATTGACATTCGTTAATTTTATATTTAATGAGAATTCCATTTAATCATGTATTATTTTTTCGTTACACACAATAATAGTATTTAAAATAAAAAAAAAATGATATGAAGACTAAGAATATTTGATTTTTCAATCAGCTTCCTGTAAGAAAATAGAAAAACAAATCATAATTAAATAAATAAAAATCAAACATTCTTTCTAAATCTACTTCAATAAGTGGATCAGTAGCACTATTAGCATCCGAATATAATCTATCCACAAATTCACCAAGGCATCCCGCCACAAAATTTAGTAATAACTGATAAACATATTACTTCAACTTCTTTGAATTTCTGCTCAAACTCTTCTTTTTCTGCAAACTAAAAATATTTTAAAAATCGAATAAAATTAATTAGAACTGAAAGAGTAAAATGAAAAGTTAACTCACTTGATTACATTCAATCCATTCTAATGTATATTCAATAGTATTGATAATCTTCTTTTTATTATTAGAATCAATTTTATCTCTTAATTGTCCATTATTAATTTTTGTTTTCATATCAAAACAATATGATTCAAGTGAATTCTTAGCTTGAATACGATTACGTTGTATTTCATCTTCTTTTCGAAATCTTTCAGCATCACGAATCATATGTCCAATTTCATCTTGAGATAATTGTGCATGATCATTTGTAATTGTAATTTTGTTTTCCCTTCCGAAAGATTTATCCACAATCGATACATTTAATATACCCATTGCATCAATATCGAATGTAACCTCAATCTGTGGCACACCATGAGGTGCTGGTGAAATACCAGAAAGTTCAAAGCTACCAAGTAAATTATTATCACTTGTCATTGAACGTTCTCCTTCATATATTTTTAGTGCGAAATTAGATTGATTGTCGTTATAAGTTGTAAAGGTTCCTGTATGTTTTGTTGGAATGGTTGTATTACGTTTAACCATTGCTGTCATAACGCCACCAGGTGTTTCAATACCCTTCACAAAGAAAAACAATTATAGAAGAACCCTTTTAATTCATTCGACTTACTAATGTGAATGGTACAACATCAAGTAAAAGCATATCTTTAACTGCATCTGATTTATCGCCAGCGAAAATAGCTGCCAGAATAGCTGCACCATAAGCAGCAGCTTCATCTGCATTAATAGATTTATTTAGTTCTTTATCATTAAAGAGATCTTGTAGAAGTTTTTGTATTTTTGGAATACGCGTTGAACCACCAACAAGAACAATTTCGTCGATTGACGATTTATCCATTTTAGCATCACGTAAAGCCTTTTCAACTGGTTCAAGTGTTGATCGAAATAGATCATCACAAATTTCTTCAAACTGAGTACGAGTGATTATTGAATGAAAATCGATACCATCATGTAATGAATCAATTTCAATCGGTGCTTGAGATAATAATGATAAACTAAGCTAAAAAATAAGAAAACGTATTGAGTGAAGCAGGGCTACCAACCGTACTCCATTTTGGGGTACACTACCTCGTTTCGACATTTTGTACCCCAGAGATACATATTTTGTACCCCATTTCAATTTTTAAGTCTGGAATGTGATAAAACACAATATCAATGTAAAGTGTCTTTCCCCACTAGTCTTTTCACTTCTATTTATCTATAGAAGTATCAGTTAACAAATGACTGATGGATTTCTACATCTGTTTTGTTCAGTCTCGGATTGAAGTACTTGATTGTTGATACTATTATCGTTATAAACACCGAAATAAGAGTTAAACATTTCTTCTGTATTTGATTCCTCCGTGTTTCATTAATTTTTCTTTTTTCTTTTGCAAATACATATTCTATTAGATATACCTCTAATTGCAGCTTTTCTCTTTAATGAATTTGATGGTAATCTTCGTTCTCTATTTATAATGTTATTTTCCAATTTCAAACTCAACAATCAATTAACACAAAGCTAATTGAAAGAATCTAAACAGCTAAGCTTATCTAATTGGAAAAAAACCAGTGAAATATGATTCTGTTCTCTACAAAAGCAGTGTTGTTTCAGCAGGTTTCTCAAGTAAATACTTTACTTCAGGAGTAAAATCATTTACCCATTTGATGTACCCCTTTTTAAATTGTAATGTACCCCATTTTGACTTTTATTAACCCCATTTAAAAAATGAAAAATGGCACCCCTGGAGTGAAGATAAAATAAAATGAATTTACTTTAGCTGATTCACAAGCAATACGTAATCGTCGAAGAGCACGTTTGTTCTCTGATAAATCTTTACCATATTTACTTTTGAATTCTTGAACAAAATATGCAACCATTCGATTATCAAAATCGTCACCACCTAAATGTATATCACCAGATGTTGATTTAACTTCAAAGATTCCTTGTACAATTTTTAAAACTGATACATTAAGAGTACCAGCACCCAAATCAAAAACTAATACATTTCGTTCGGCAGGGATATTTTTATTGAAACCATAAGCCAGAGCAGCAGCTGTTGATGCATTAATAATACGCGATACATTAAGACCAGCGATAGTAGCAGCATCTTTTATTGCCTGACGTTGTGAATAATTAAAATAAGCTGGAATAGTAATAATAGCATTGGAAATTTTTTCATTACAATAAGCTTCTGCTATTTGCTTCATTTTTGCCAATACCATTGAACATATTTCTTCAGGTGTAAATAGTATCATTCGATCTCTATATTGAACTGCAACTTTTGGTTTACCGTTATCATTAAGTATTTTAAATGGCCAATATTTCATATCAGCGTGTACAGTTGGATCGTCATATTTACGACCAATAAGTCGTTTGATACTAAATAGTGTATTGGTTGGATTTCGAGCTGCTTGACTTTTAGCAAGATCACCAATTAAACGTTCATTATCAGTGAATGCAACATATGATGGTGTTATTCGGTTTTCTAGTTCATTAGGAATGATTTCAACTTTTCCATGTTGAAATACAGCAACACACGAATATGTTGTACCCAAATCAATACCAATTGCTTTAGCCATTATAAAACGTTCTCATAAAATTTTTGGAATGCAATGCTTTTTATATGTATTAAGATTTTTCGATGAACTTTTGAACTTTTTAATACTAAACAAAATTAATCACTATTGTCCGCGCTAGAATTAAAGAGAGTTTGGTGTAAATTGAATAACTGAACAATGGCAAGAGTTACCGACCTGTGGCTTTCACCAACTGATAGAGGACACAGTGAAACACTTTTTCTCCGACAATATATAAGACGAAATGATTTTGAATATTGACATTCATGCAAATTTCTACTGAAGAGACATGGATATGCAATGCCACACAAATCGATATCTGGTTTGGATCTTTGATTTCGATAGAGATACTTCAGATCTACAGTTCAAGATAAAATTCACATAGTTCTCTTATTGCATTCTACCATTAAGTAAACAGAATCATGTGGTTACATGCATAAAATATAGGGAATTTTGATGATTTTTTATTTAGTTTTCGCACTTCCTATCATAATAGTTTAATTTTTCGATAGAACTGTAATGAAAAGTAAGATATCTTGAACTATAGATCTGAAGTATCTCTATCTAGATGAAAGATCAAAATCAAAAATTTATTGTATTGGCATATCCTTTCTATACCCGCTCTCGAGAAAAATTTGCATGAATATTCATATTCAAAATCATTTCGTCTTACACATTGTCAGAGAAAAAGACGTATCACTCTCTCCTCTATCTTGAGGGTGTGGGTGTGATTGTGGGTGTGGGGTGTGCGTGTAGGGGTAACAGTCTAAAATGTCCTTTCGAAAATGTCCTTGGACGAAATGTCCTTTATTTTTTCGTCCTTACATATATATGTATGTGAGAGGACGAAAAAATAAAGGACATTTCGTCCGAGGACATTTTCGAAAGGACATTCTAGCATGTATTCCGTGTAGGTGTGTGGATGCTGTCTTCTGATCATTCACAACCACGCCCACACCCACGCCCACCCTTCTCTACGAGACAATCACCTAACATTCTCTTAACTTCAAATAGAAAACCTCCTGGTTTATAAAAAATATTCTCCTGATAAACTCCTGCTTTTGGATAAGAAAACTCCTGATTCTTAAAATTTCAATTTGGAAATCCTGCTCTGAAATTAGTTTTTGGTTTGCAGTTATTTGTTTATAAACAAAAATCTGCAAAAATCAAACATGTTGTTTTTATCATGCAAAATAAAGGGTGGTCGAAAAGTTTTCGGACAAAATGTTGAAAGTTGACAAACATGTGGGTGGGTGTGGGTGTGTGGTGGGTGTAGGTGTGGGTGTGGGGTGTGGGTGGATGTTGAGTGTGGGTGTGGGTGGGTGTGGGTGTGGGTATGGGTGTGGTTGTGGCTCTTTTCTTCAGTGAAACCCATACCCACACCCACACCCACATCCACACACTCACACCCACATCCTAAACTGTAGTTTTTGTCTTGTTGTTTCATTACGAAACATTGGTACCATATGAGAAAATAGATGTATTTTAGGAACAAAAGTGTTCTGTTATGAATTGTGCAAGTGATAGACATTTCTTTTTCGCATTAATAAGAAACAATTGAGTCAAGTGAAGACTACCAATTACGTTTTAGAATCTAATTTTGTATTAGATTATATTACGATTGTAAGGTCTTCATTGTAATAGACTTCAAAACTAATACTGATTTTTCTTGGTGCTGATTATTCTTAGTGCTTAATTTTCCTGTGCTGAAATTTCTAGTGCTGGAAATTAACCAACCCATTATGGAAATGTGCCTATTAATCCTTTTATCTTGCATCTCCATTACTATGGTCTTTAATGGGATAATGTAATGGACCTGGAGAAGGAGGAGTCGGAAAATCCTCGACTTAAACTTACACTCACTCTTTTCTTTCGTCAAACAGGTGAGTTCCACAACAAAAATCAATCAAAATCCCTATTGACAATCCAAGGGTACTATCCTAATGTAGGAATTAAGTACCTAAGGATATCATTCTAACACGGTACTTGAGGACCCAAGAGGATCCCTCTTTTATAGGACTTCAGATTCAAAGGGTACTACCCTCAAGTAGGACTCGAGGACCCACGAGTACTACACCAATATAGGATATGAGGACCTATGGACGGCGCAAGCTCAGTTTTTTAGGGGAAGCAATAAATTTCAGAATGAGACTCTATCGAATCTGCGCTTCACCGCTCGATAGTAAACGTGTTTTTCCTTAATTTCTCAAAGGCAGAGCATTGAAGACCTGCATATTGATTCATTTCACAGCATATTAAGACTTTGAGGGTAGTAACGCTATTTATTGAGAGCAGGTGCATTTAGAACGAGTTAGCAAAACTCAAGGTTTCTTGTAATTATCTACCATTCACCAATTATTGAGTTTTCGAGTTGACATTCTCATACGAAAGATTATCTACCAGTTTAACAGCTATTCTTTCTTGATGAAATTATAAGCGTAAGAAGCAGTTAAACATGTTGTAGTCTTATCATTGTAACTGTTTATTCTACTATAGTCCTGACCAAAATTATAAAACTACTTCTTTCAGAGAAATTCTTCTCC